CAATGGCGCAGTGAGCAGAGCACTGGCGTGCCATTCAAGAGATCCGAGTTCAATCCGCGGTAATGGAGTACTTTTTTCTTTTTTAAATTAATTTTTTCTGTTAATTCTCAAGTTTTATTGTCTAAAAAATATAATATTTTTAATTTCATTCAATATTTAGAAACTTGTTTAATTATTTTTTTGCTTTTCTTAAATAAATTTTTATTTTTTATTGAATTGATTTTTTTCGTTTAGTTTTTAGAAAATTGATACATATATAGAACAACGCTTAGACCTCCCCCTTAGTAGATATTTTAATTAGGCATACGAAATACAGAAAAGAGCTTTCAAGATAGAGAATTTCGTCTTTCGAAAGACAGTGGTGAGATGAAAGACAGATGCCAGAATTGACCTGTTAGTTGTTTTGTTTGGTTTTTTGCAGTTTACAAAAATTAAATTAAATAAAAAAATAGTTTCCTTTTGAAAACAATAAAATCTAAAAAAAATATTAAAAACATAAAAAATAAAATTAAATAAGTTTCCAGAAATTTAACAAAAAAAAATAAAATATTAATTAAAAAAAGGAAAAGGATAATTTTCTGCAATAGGGCTGGACTTCGGATCTGTCGAATGGTACTCTACTCACTACGCCATTGTGACTGTTTACGTAGTGTGCGTAAAATGATATAAATACTTATTTTATATTTTATTTCAAACTCAACGAAAAAAGTGAGTGTTGCCATAAAAAGAACGGCCGTAACTTGGACCATACTTAAATTTCATAAGCCCTTATCTTTTAACTCTGAGAGGAAGCATTAATTAACACATTTAACGATCATTAGTTAAGTGTCCGTTAGAGCACGGCTGTAAGACCAACATCTTTGCCAAATTTTATAGAAATGGGTGAAGCGGTTACCGAAATATACACATGTAATCATAATTGGATGGGCCTACGCAGTTTATGTATTTTGCCAAATTTCCATCACATGGGATGTAATTGTTGTTATTGTCTAATTTTGCCCATTTTCAATACTACTCATCCTTAGCTCAAAAGAAATACACGTACCAATATCGTTAAGATATCTCAATTATTACTATATTTATAGTGTGCAAAGACAAACGGGCGGGAGGACGGACAGATAGCCACAGTTTCATCGATTTATATTTTTATTTAGAGTCCACTAAATGTGTAAAAGTGTTTCTTTTGACGTATACAGAAGTCAACGAAAATTTGAAATTTTATGAAAAGTTTAGCAGTCGCTACCAAACTAGAGGCCAGCTACTCAAACTGCGAACGAAGAAGTAGCTTAGAGTGTTTAAATTCAAAACAATAATGTTTTTTTTTTTTTTAAAAACTGAACAAAATTCCTTAACACTTTGCCATTTAACCCGGATTTTTATGTTGAAAACTCATTGAATTACAAACGACTCTTTATCCGCAGTCCGAAGGCGTGATAGGTCTTTCTTATTTCCAAAATCTGTAAGGAAAGAATAGTAGTAATTACAGCTGGTGCATGCACGTTTGCATGTTTGGTTCACTTTGTTCATACATACATATGTGCACAAATATGTGGTACGTCAGAAAAAGGGTTGAAAACCATTGTTCAAGACAATAGATATGATCAGGGGCGGCATTTCCATACTCTCAATAACACACTTTAACTAACAGTGGTTAAGGATGTGTATAAAGTTAGCGAAACAACATCAAGCAAAAAATGTCACATATACCCATGAATTTGCCGTTTTCTTTGCCGTTAATTAGTTGTGGAAAAAATATTTTTGTCGCTCCGGTATTTTTTAGATATAAGGTGTTTTGCTAATTTAATATAAAGTTAGCGAAGCACTCCTCCAAACTCAAAGACAAACGACTAGGCTTTATGTCAAAATTTGCCGTTTTTTACCGTTCTAAGATGAGCTAGTTTACTTTTGAAAAAAAAAAAATTAAAAAAAAAAAAAAATTTGAATTTTTTTTTGTTTTTTTCAATGCTCAATAATTTTTAGAAGAAGAGGATAATAATATAATAGAAAAGCAAACCCGGTTTCTTTATGTACCACTTTGAAATTTAAACAAACAATAATCACCATGGTTAAAATTCAAAAAATTAAGAAGCTTTCTTATCACAATCAAAAGCAGTTTTAATGCACAGAAGAATTCAAACGGCAAATTATGCAACAAAAACATTAATTATTTTAATTATTTTTAACCAATTTTTAAACCGCTTTCCAAGTGCCAATTTTTTTTAATAAGGCTGTTTAAACAAAAAAAAATTAAACGACAAAATCAAAAACAGTTTTAGTGCACAAAACAAGCCAAACGGCAAATTATGTCACAAAAAAATTAATTTTTTTAATATTTTTAACCAATTTTTAAACCG